CACTGGGCACATGGTTTTAAATTATTCGTTATTTTCCTTGAATTGGCAGGTTTGCTTTTGAAGAAATGTATGCCAAATACACATGCCTGAATAACGTGCCAGCCGTTCTTCCATGTTCAAATGGTGTTGCATGAAAAAGGCAGTTAATTCAGCTTAAAACTAAATCACTAAAGTGCTTTTCCTCAAGACAACCATTGCCACAGAGAATATTCCGATCTTGACACAGAAAATATCTTTAAAATGCGTACTCAATAGAGGAAACTTAATAAAATTAATAATTTGTACTATTTCATCAAGGACATACTTGAATGAAACTGGCTTTAAAAATAAACTGAGTTTTGGTAGTGAAGAATATGACTACTAGTATAGTTTGCTGCCATTGTCCTTACTGTTGCTAAAGTGCCAGCAGTTATTCCTACCACTGGGTACCAAACATTGTTTTTGCATCACTCGTGCAAATATTCAAACAATGAAAAAGAAAATAATATCTTAGTATTATGAAGAAATAATACTTTTGAAAGGGTTTTGGGAACCCCCAGTTGTCTGTGGACTACGCTTTAAAAATTGCTGCTCAAGAGAGAAATGTGATGGAGACCCATTCAATGGAATGTTGTCACATGTAGCTATTAAGAGAAATAACGCAACCTAAATTTACGTACATGGAAATATGCTCATGTATTTACTACATTTCAAAAGAATCAAGGATCAAAATAAAATGTATAGTATTCCTAATTTGTGAACTACAAGCAAATGTTTATGTATATAAATAAAATGTTTGGAAAGATATATATCATAATGTTAGTAAAGTCTACCTTGGAGAAAAGGGTATTTCATATCACAAAATAATTCTGTGGTTATTGAACTAGTAAAGGCTACTTTGTAATTTAAAAAATCTCTCCAAAACAGAAACTTCTTCATGTAGAACAATTCTTTGAAAAAGCTCAATTTCCCCTCCTTCAAAAGATAAGCTCCTTATAAAAACACAATTACTGATAATTCATTGAGGTAAAAAAAAAAGCAGAAGAAAAAAGCAGGAATTAAAGTACAAAAAAACTGCCAAAAAAAATAGCCTAATGGTCACTGGTGTTACCTAAGTTACTAAAAATCAAATTCTCACAAACTGGGCCATATTCTTCATTTATAAACATGAAGACTTTCTGAGACAATGTTAGCTGCCAAAATTTCTAAGTGAACAGTGGCAAAGTTACTGAACAAATCCTGATTAAGGGTTTTAGTAACAATTCCAGTATACAACGAAGAAACAATGAGGCTACCTGATCTGTAATACTCAGAACAGTACTGATGTCAGCTGGCAATTAATCTGAATTCTCAACTAAAAACAAAAACTCAGGAACCAGCATTCTTTTAATTCTAAAGGCATTTCCAACAGAATTTTCTTTCCAGTGTCTTTCGATTATTATTATGTAGCCTACTATGAAAGATCTTAACCTCTGGACCTCATGCTACTTTTTGATTAACATTTTAACTTTATCACAGAAAGAACTGCTGTCTCAGGAAGATGCCTGTTTATCAATTTGTGTTTTTATTACACCCCAATTGGTGGGGAATGCAAGAGACTGGTGCTAGATAAACATGGATGTAGAAACAGGAGTGGAGTGATTCAGAGCCAAGAAACTATAAGCAAAAGAATTGTTTAAATGTGTCAATTTGTATTTTAGTTTACGCTAGAAGTTATGGAGTTTAAAATTAAGTGTTTTACTTAACTTAAATGTCTTAGATTTAATCACTTGCATTTTATATAATTTATTGTTCTTTCTTTTGAAATATAAAAGAAAGAATGTGTTCTTTTGGCTTTTATTCTAAAACAATAATGGTAATTTCATTCTCAATAGTAAAATTTTATTTCAAAAGATTATTTTAGTACTGTAAATATAAATGTTTTTTTTTCTTTCAGAACATTAAAGAAGCTCTTCTGCTGTCAGCTTGCCTGCACTGTTTCTAGGGACAAATCTGCTATCATTTTTATCTTTTCCTCGCTATATGAATCTTTTTCCCCCCTAACTATGCTAGAGATTTTCTCTTTAACACTGGATTTAAGTAGCAATTTGATTATGATGTGCCTTGATGTAGTCTTATTTCCTATGCTTAGAGTTCTCTGACCTTCCTAGATCTGTGAGTTCACAGGTTTCATTAAATTGGGGAAAAATTTTTACCATTATTTCTTCAAATATTTCTTTTGTTCTCCTTTCTCTTATTTAGAGACTTCAATTACTTATATATTAAGCTGCTTGAAGATGTCCTACAGCTCTTTTTTTTCCTCCTAGGTTTTTCTGGTTTTATTTTGTATAGTTTCTATTGCTATGTCTTCAAATTCACTAATCTTTTCTTCTACATTACCTAATCTACATCAATCCTATCAGATATTTTAAGAAATTAACATCTCTTGTCTAAAGCATATATGATGTGGGGATATTATAGTTTTTAACCCCTAGAAATATAATTTGAGTTTTTTTGAAATTACCTTCCTTGTGTTTACTTAAACATGTTCAATCTTCTAGCTTCTTCATATAGGAAACACAGTTATAAGAAAATATTTTGATGATCTTTTCCATCCATTATATAATATTCTTTCCTTAGTAGTTTCAGTTGATTTTCCCCCTCAGCATGGATCTTTACACTCACCACTGCTATCCTCTACCAAAACAACTACCGAAATGTAGGCACCACATTTCTGGGGCCACTTTAAGACAACAATGACAGTAATTAAATCAATCTTTCAATTATGTAATCTTGGAACCAAGCAGCTGTGCCTTTTCTTCCTAGGAAATAATTTCATTTTAAAATGAAAAAACCCTTTGATGCTAGATTAGTTTTTCTTTTAAACAATAATTCATAATCATCTACCAGCAAACATTTCCATTTGAAATTATAACTAAAACACATCTAGATAGCTCTCAAAAAAATTCTAATGTTAAAGACATCAAAGCATAAGAATAATGATATAATTACTGAAAATACACAATTTATACTTGTAACCCTGAAAATATAATGAAATCAATTTTGTTATTGAAAAGTGACTGAAAAACTGTAGTCTTCATAGTTAGGTTTATTCAAGGCTAAGATATATAGTCACAGCATTAATCATAAATGCTGTGTATCATCAGCATAAAACTAAGACTTAAGCCTAAGGCATTGAAAATCTTAGAGATGACAATATAAATCTGCAATCAACAACTAGTATGATTACTGATGTTAAATAAAATCAGCCACTTAAAAAATAATAGTTGTTCTATGAAATGATACAAGCTATAACTCGAACAATAATGATAGCCAGCTCTCCAATAAAATTTAGGATAACAAAATCGAATCAAGGAACCTTAAGTGTTATTTCTAAAACTATGTTCTTATAATGTTCTTGCGATATTTCACTTACCTTCAAAATAAAGTCAGAATTAAAATTACTACTATATGAATTTACTGAGGATTCTATATACAATGAAAAATAGATTTGGGTAGATTAATTTGCTAAGGAGAGATCTACCGACTAACTGATGTTAATAAAGTATGCAAAAAAGCTGATGAATAAATGGAAGTAGAATATTTATTTACAAGCTCAGACTCTTATGAAGAATATTGGTATTATATTTTTCTCTAACATAGTCGAAACAGTCGATGCTTAAAAAAAGAGGAAGGGAGAGAAGGGGAAAGACAAACTGCTAGGTTATTCCAAAAGGGTAGCATCATTCTAAGTGAAGAAAACACAATTTCCATGTAGTATGGATACAAATTAGCAGTCTCATTTCATGGGAGATATTACGCCAGACGTACACTCAAAATTAAATACTTCACCAGGACAGTACATATTGGGGAGAGATAGGAATGGTTTTAAGAGCTAAATGAATAAAATAAAATCACGTTTCAGTTCACAGGCCCTGGGAATCCATTAATCCAATTTTCTACACATTTCTCAGATGAGGAAACAGATCTCAAGAGACAAACAGATCTCAAGGTCACAATTAATAGCAAGAACAGGACCAGAATTCAGGTCTTACGAATTTTGGGAAATTTTCCTTTCCTCCACAGTAGTTGCTAGGGAGATGATCTCTAGCATAAAAGCAAAGTAAAATGAATTAAATTCAAATGGTTTAAAAGAAGGCAGTCAGACCAGTGTAGTATAAGCTATATGCTAAGGATGAAGCTCTTGAGAGTTAATGCAGGATAATTCAAGGAGGGAATATCATGAGCAGACTAAAATAACAATGATAGCTAACACATAATAATTACTAGGTGTTCATTCTCCCATGACCGTTTACATATTCATTTATTTATTCTGCTTTTGAAGTAGATATTTATTATTATTATTATTAATTATTATTATTATTATTCTCATTTGCAAATGAGGAAAGAGGACAGAATGAAGTTAATAACTAACTGGTGAGGCCAGGAGACTAGAATAAACTCCAAATGAAAAAAGGGGAAAAAAATCATATGTCAAAGTAAGTATTTAAAAAATCAAGATTATAAATAATTTTAAAAGAAAGATATCTTAGATGTTTCCTATTTTTTGTTCATTTTCCTCATCAGATTCCTGTAGTGAGATGTAATGGTTTTCAAAACAATTTAGCAGTTAATTTCAAAGCATTTTTATGAAGGCCTGTAATGTATCCAGAAAAAATTCATAGCAAATATGCAGAAAATAACAGAGAATGAAGCAATTTCAGTAGATCTGAAAACAGAAGAATCAGCATTAAAACTTACATAAGGTTTGAGAGTCACATGTTTTGTATAAGTAAAAGAGTAAACCTTCTGTTCTGCTAAAACAAAACACAATTATTTCAGATCAAGAGTTAAACTTAACTTCCTATACAAGGAATAAAATTTATCTATTTCAGGAATACACTCCAAATTTCAAAAGCTTACATTAATTTCGCAGCAAGGGATAGATAGATATCTGAATGGACCAACAGATATTTCATATCCACAAAATATGAAATATGAGTTCTCCCAAATTTTTTACAGAAGCTACTGTTGTTACGTACCATTTTTTTCCTCTTATCCTGTTCTGTGGGTGGTTCTTCATCTTCTGTTACTTTTGGTTCTTCAAGATGAGACATCAACATACAGCTACAGTAAAAAAAATGTTTTAAATAAATGTTTAAGTCTATAACATATGAAAAACAAACCCTTGAAATCACTGAAACATCAATGTTTTTATATACCAATATGAGGACTAGCTTGATAAACTAGATTTATAAGTTAAAAAAAAAATTGTAATGACAAAAAGATATCTAAAGGGCAACATGAAAAAATTTTAGAGCATTTTACCTACATATTTAAGGTAGTAAGTTGTAAGAAATTTATTTATAGGCAACTTTTGAATCATATATCACTTGACAAAGTAAGTTGTACACTTTATATCTTTTTAAATGATACAAACACTTAAAATTAATACTTCTTTTACCACTAATCTTCATATGTCTGTAGGTTACATGTTTCATAACCGTAGCAATAACTTAAATAACATAATTAAAACATTATTAATTATGTATGAATCAACTTTGTGCTCCAAGTGAAATTATTACTATTCTATGAGGAACTTGTCCCTGATAGTACTTGTACCTGCAGGACAGGTATAAATCACTTTATTCTGATTATCTGCATCACTGACCTTCACCATTGGCAGAGATAAAAGAAATATAATTTTCTATTCAGTCAACACTGGTTTCAGGAAAACAAGAAATGAATATTGTCTAGGAAGTCAAGTTGAAGAAACAAACCTCAGTTTCCTAATTTAGAACAATAGAATTCAGTAATTTATCAGTCATAGGTTCCTAACCAATAAAAACTGTGAAGGGAAGCTTGGTTTCTCTTCTGTTTTGCATCAAGTACAGGGTAAGGACAGGAAGGACAATTCCTAACTCAATTGTGTAGATGACTTTTAATTCAGGGTTAAAGACAGATGCCAACACCAGAAACTTGATCAGGCTCACTCTTTCAGGCGGTGTGAGTGTCCTCTTTCTCCTATTCCCCACCATCTAAAAAAATTTTTTTTGGAACAACTGCCTTTGACCTATTCAGTGGACATCGGTGAGCTCAAACAGTAAGAACTTTAAACTGAAAATCAGAAACCCTGAAAAACAACAAGAGTTAACACTAGCTAACTGCACGGCCTTAACCTCTCAGAGCTGCAATGCTTTTGTCTACCATGACATAATAATATGTAGCACACAACTAGTTGGCCAAAAGACTCAGGCACAAAGTGAGAAAATTATGACATTATCTCAACCCAAAAGCTACTTAATAAAATAAAATGTCTAGAAAAAGTCTAGATCCCAGTTTATATTTTAGAACTAAATAATAAAATGGGGTTCCTTCATACTTGCTGCAGACTTGGATTTTAACTGCAATGAAGCTAGATCTCCATGGAAGTAAGCTTTATAGTACATCAAATTCTTTCACTGCATTCCAACATCCGTTAACTTATGTATATAGTAAAAACTCTCTATTCTCCCTTCCCCAATTAAAAGATGTATCACATTAATAGTAAAGTATATTCTGGATATAAATATACAGGTACACATATTTTTTTTCCCCACTGACTACAAATTACCCAAAGAGTAGAATATGTTTTGCTTTGTAATTCTGCAAATTACATTCGTTTGGATTTCTGGAAGGTGGAAAATAAAAAAAAAATAAAAAAATTTTTTTTGAATTGACAAGATCAAAACTAAAATTCTCTCTTACAGGAAAATCTCTAATTAAAAGTCAAATCTTATTTTGTTGAGAAAGGTTAAAGATAGGGAGTCATGTTTTACATAAAAGGCATGGTGAAAATTAACTGATTTCAACTAAGCTAAAATGGATGGGCTATGAATGTAACAATAGTAATAGCAATACAATAATAACAGTTTAGAAAAGGAATGACCGACACATGAACACAGGCAGCCACCTGTCTCATCCTACTCACTCACTGAATAGATCTAGGCACTCTAGCTCACTATCCGAATCTTTCCTAACAAGAAACTCTAACCAGCCAAACATAACCATCAGTGTTAGTATGCAACATGAATCCTTTTAAGTTATTATGTTTAAAAGTACTTGTAAAAACACCTTTGATTTAATCTACACAAAGTCACTTCTAAACGTTATAATAAAACTAGAACTGACAACATTATTTAATTGGTCTCTGTAGTGGACAGTTTGGTTGCTTATATAATCGTCTTCCTTCCTGAGGGAACTCTGAATTTGTCCAGTTATCCTCCTCTTCCGTGCCACTATATGCTTCACATAAAGCTGATCCCAGTCCCAGTGCCGATGGCTCAACAAGCAACCACGGTAATACGATTCCCCTGGCCAATGATTGCTTTCAACAGAAGCATGTTTAACAAATCCTAGCCAATTATACATGAAGAGAAATCTGATGAAAAGACTTCTGGGAAAGGTTTCCTATGATGTTTAATAAATAAAAAGGCGGGGAGGGGGAGGGAGATAAAGCAAGAGAAGATTACTTCTCTGGCACTGGCACTGTCATGAATTGTAATGCCCAGCACTACTTTATAACCATGAAGGAAAGCAGACTGCAAATGAAGCTAACGTGCTGCAGGAATAGAGCAGAAAGAACTTGGGTCTTTGAAGGTGTTGTGAGGACCCAAATAACTAATCATAGAGCCACTTACCTATAGTTGTTTGGTTAGTTGTCAGAGATAACTAATTCTTTATTGCTAAAGCCAGGTGACTCACGGTTTCTCTTACAGCTGGAAATCCCTTTACAATCCCTTATATAAATACCTTATCAAAAATTCATATTGTGCTCATGCCCAGAAACAGTCTCCCTCTCCTAAAACGCCTATTTCCTTCTACTTGAAAATAGGAACTATGTAATCCTAACATTTCTCTTTTTATCCTGGTAGTTAGCAAGCTTAGGGCTCAGTTTTATACGCACATGCCACAAGTTTCCCAATTCCTTCAATCCTGTGCTAACAGTTTTTGGGCAAAATGAGCACATCCTTTTCTTATGCATTGCCTCAGATCCTCTTATGACCACTAGATTGAATATAAGCAACCAACTAAATGTTGTATATTAGCAATATAGACAAAGTGCCATGAAGGAACAGAGAAGGATGCAATTAATGCTTCCTGAGAGTCTGGAAAGGAATCCTAGAGGAAGGTATTTGCAAGATTGGGCATGACATGCCAAGTAAAAAAGAACGTTATGAGTCAAGTAATGTGTATAAAAAGGAATGGCACACCTGAGGAATGATGAGGAATCTAAAGAGGAAAGTAAGAGAAAAGGTCAGTAATGTAAGCTGAGAATCAGCACAGAAGTGCCCCATCAACTTTATTCTGTAAGAAACCAGGCTTCTAATTTTAAGAAATGGGGCAAAATGGATCAGAAAAGGAGAAGTGGAGAAAGAAAGACTCCCAAGGATGTCACTGGGACCTATATAAGTTAGGATTATATACAGGTGCTAATGTCAGAATCAGGGAACCAAGGTTCTTTTTTATATTCTCTATTTTATTCTGAAGAACCATCTGGTAGGTCAACATAACAAGGAGAAAAAAATGCTTATAAAGCCTAAATTTTACTTTTGTTTCAAATAAAACTACTACTTCTTTTATAGCCAATATGTTTTGTTTTACACTCTCTAGCTATAAAAACCACAACTTGAGTCCTTTTCTAATGAATTTTAATGCCCCAAAGCATCCTAAGATGTTGACTAAACCTCTCTTCTTTTTTACTTTACAAACATTGACAAAGAGTTGTCAATCTCATTTCCAATTTGCGTAAGAACAAAATATTAAAGGGAAACCACTCTAAATAAAGACAAGAGGAAGGCAAATTCCAAGCCTCGTTAATAAATTTTCCTGGTTTAATGAAATAAGAACTCTTACTAAAATAGAAACATATAATGAAACCCAAGTAAAAAAGAGTGAAACTGGACCACTATCTTACCCTATACACAAAAATTAAGTCAAAATAAATTAAACACTTGAATGTAAGAACCGAAATCATAAAACTCCTAAAATAAAGCATAGGCAGTAAGCTCCTTGACAATTTTTTGGATCTGACTCCAAAAGCAAAAATAAGCAAATAGGAATATCAAACTAAAAAGTTTCTGCACAGCAGAGGAAATCAACAAAACAGAAAGACAACCTACTGAGGGGGAGCAAATATTTGCAAATCACATATCTGAGAAGGGGTTAATAATCAAAATATATAATGAACTCATACAACCCAATGGCAAAAAAAAAAAGAAAAATTAAAAAATAAGCAGAATATCTAAATAGACGTTTTTTCCAAAGAATATATACAGATAGCCAACAGCTACATAAAAAGATATTTAACATCACTAATCATCAGAGAAATGCAAATAAAACCACAATGAGATATCGTCTCATGCTTGTTAGAATGGCTACTATCAAAAAAAAAGACAAGAAATAACAAATGTTGGTGAGGATGTGGAGAAAAGGGAAACTATACACTGTTGATGGGAATGTAAATTGGTGCAGCCACTATGGAAAATAGTATAGAGGGTCCTCAAATAATTAAAAATAGAACTACCATATGATCCAACAATTCTACTTCTGGGTATTTATCTGAAGAAAACAAAAACTGGTTTGTAATCACAAAAGTTTGAGGCTTCTATTTCATCTGAATTCTTGGGTTTTCAAAAGTTAAGTTACATGCCAAACACGTATGTTTAACAAGACTCAACCACATATATCTGGTTTCTATATCTTTTAACAAAATATGATTCAAACAGCAATCTTTCCCATTTGTTATAGATAGTTTTATAAATGTATTGAGCAAACGAGCTCAATATATTACTGAGAAGGAATCAAGTGACCTGGAATCTCATGAAGCCTTGCTTATCATCATATGAAACATGCCCTTATCAATAGTAATAAGAGGAAAGGTGTGGCAATTCTACAAACTACACAGGGATATGTGATTAATTCTAAAAAAGAATTTTAAATTAGTAATTATATAAGTATGAGATTTTCAGCATTCCTGATAACGTAATTTTACTATTCTCCCAAAGATTATAATTTTAACTATTCTCTTTTGGAATTAATCAAGTTCCACAAGACCCTCTAACATCTTAATAGTGCCAATGATGCTTCAATCAGGCAAATACAAAAAGAAGATGCTTACCCATCCCTTTTCCCCCATAAATTGCCTGAAAGTCAGGGAAACTTTGTTAGTTTAAAAGCACATTCAAACATCTCTAAAAAGGAATTCATATGCTACAATACACTGGGATTTTTTTTTTTAAACCTAATGTCTAATAATAGAAATGATAATTAGACCAAAAAAGCTCCATGTAAAATTTCACTATAATAAAATAAAGCTGCTCTCAAGATCAAACAACAAATATTAGCAAAATAATAAAAAATTTTCTTTATAGAATGCAAAATTGAAAAGTTGCTATACTGTTCTTATATGGTGATAGCAAACAAAAATCATGCAGGATATAATTAATTACCCTCTAAGTAACTGTCCAAGTAGGATTAATTAAATGATCCACTTACTCTTTATAAGTTCCTGTTTCAGGATCTTCTGTCATGACATCATGTAGGCCCTCCACTGAAATGTTTATAATCCCACAGAATTTATCTTGGATAACACTAGAATAAAAGAAGAGCAAAACAGGTTAAACTAGACTATTTCAACAGGTATTTTTTTTCTAATCATCCTCTTAAACATGAAATTTTAGTTCTAAAATACAAAAGAAACTTTCACAATATATTTCTTAAAGCAAAAATTTTATCTTGCATATAACATTAACATTTTCTTTCACTAGATTAAGTGTGTTTAAATACTAGAAGAACAGATTAGATAGGAAAGAGATACTTTAATATTCTTTAATGTATTATAATAGTCTTGTGTTGATTTTATAACTACAAAAGTAAAGATACAAAAATGTTAAAGCTTAAAAATCTGTACTCTTCTAAATATACTATCAAAAAAAAAAAAAAAAAGAAAAGAAAAGAAAGACAAGCCATAGACTGGGAAAAAATATTTGGAAAATATACATCTAACAAAGGACTTGGATCTAGAATATACAAAGAAGTCTGAAAATTCAGAAAGACAATGCAATTTAAAACTGGGCAAATATTTGAACAGACACTTCACCACAGAATATATATAGATGTCATATCAATCAGTCCCTGAAAAGATGTTCAATATCATTAGTCATCTGAGAAATGCAAATTAAAACCACAATGAAATTTTAATTAAAAGTAAAATTAAGAAGATCAACAATACCAAGTGCTGGCAGGGATGAGAAACAATAGGACCTCCACACATTGCTGATAAGAATAAAAAACAGCACATCCATTTTGGAAAACACATCAGCAATTTTTATAAAGTCAAACACACTCCATATAACCAAGCAATCCCATTCCTAGGTATTTACCAAGACCAAACAGGTATCCTCAGATCTGTATATGAAAATTTATAGAAACTTTATCCATAAAAATCCAAAATTGCAAATGATCCAAATGTCTATCAAACAGTGAATGGATAAACAAACCGTGGGACACTTATTCACTGGAATAGAAGTCAGCAATAAAAGTGAACAAACTACATATACATGCAACAACTTGTATAAATCTGAAAACGGTATGCTAAGAGAAATAAAATAGACTCCAAAGGCTACATATTGTACGACTCTATTTATGTGACTCTCTGGAAAAGCAAATTATTTGATCAGCGGTAGCTAGGCAAAAAACACAAGTGAACTCTTTGGGGTGATGGGAATGTTCTGTGTCTTGTGTGTGATAGTGGTTACACATTATGTCAAAACTGTATGCTTAAAAGAGGTTTTACTATATGTGACTTATATCCTAAAAATACCTGACTTTTAAAAAGTGGAAGTACATAACCATCTACTGGCACACTAAATTATACTATCTGAATTTAAAACTGAATAAATTATAATTTTTATCTCCAGGGCATTTATAGTTATCATTCCTACAAAGGATATACCATGTTTCTCATACCACATTAACATGCATAATTAATTTTTTAAATGTTCAGGAAAGTAGTTCCCAAGGTCAGCACACGTTGGGTCATGTTCTCATGTTCCCATTTTTGTAAATTTAAAACCCTGTCTATACATTCAAATATGATCATATTTTAGAAGAACTAAGTCACCAGATAGGCAAATAATAACCAACTGATATCATTCTGATTTAATCTGCAGATAACATCCTATTGCAGTAGTACATATTTTTGATGTCACTATATTTCTTTTAATAATAACTAAAAAATCTCTGAAGAGAGAGACATACATACGGTCTACCTTATCTGGTTCAGTGAAGAATGCCCTGGAAAAAAGAATTAGAAAACCAAGATTCTGCACTCAAAGTTGGGCCACTATGTGATCCTACTGAAGTTAATCCATTTCTCTAGGTGTTGGTCTCCTTGTCTATAAAATAGAAATTGAACTCAGGGATGGCAAATGCATGGGGGCAGGGGGAATACAGCCATTTTCCCTTCCCAATGCAGAGAAATTCACCACTAACCCATCATAGCACACTAAGCAGGCAGGGCCTGAGATTGCTGTTTAACATAGCAGCACTCTAGATAGCTATCAACCACTGATCTCAATTAGATGAAGACGACAAAAGCCCTCTAGACTATAGCTTCCAAGGTTCTTTATAGGGCTTTATGTCAATGTTAGAACAGTCCACTCAGGCAACTGCTTTCTCCACTTACATTCCCTCCAAGAATCAACAGCACACCTTATGGGAAAACCAGGAATTTCATAAGAAATCAATGAAATTTCTGAGTACTTAGTATTTTCTCAAAAGACTGATTATGAGTTTTCCTAACACATCCGGCAACCTGATTGTGACTATGTTCTGCTATATGGGTGAATGCTAATTACAAGGAAGTATATTAGAGATAAAAATAGTATAATTTGACAACCAGCTCATTAGATTACAGGTTTTACTTCAAATTATGAGATTAATCAATGTTGGTGGTACCAGCATGGGCACACTGGTTTTTGAGAAGGTAAAAAGTTATGTATCTTTGCCATATGTAATTAGAGAAAAGTAATTAGTAACATGCTGAATTAATAAATGATACTGTCCTAGAGCATTGGGCCTTAATTCAGACAGGTACATTACAAGACTAAGCCTTCAGGGCTGAGCACAGATTTTGATAAACTACAGCACAAATAGAATAAACTTCTGACTACACAATTCTTGCCAAAATCAGTAACTTCATCCCTTGCTCATAAAAGATGAATGTTTACATGACACTGCTGGAACCAGAGTAAAGCATGAAAAGTTCTGCGGATACCAGAGGGTAAGGGGAGGGGGGAGGTAGATGGGGTAAAGGGGGTCAAATATGTGGTGACAGAAATAAATCTAACTATGGGAGGTGAACACGCAATGTAAATATATATATGCCTAAAAAAATTAAAATTAAAAATAAAAATTAGAAAAAAAAAGTTCTGGGGGAAAATTTCATGAGTTCAGGAAGAAAGACTACTATCCTGGCCCATAAGCTTATTCGGGCTTAAGAACTCAGGCATGTGATCACTGGGGTTCACTCCCCCTTCCTTCCCCTGCCTCTACCAAGTGAAAGGATTGGATAGATGATTGTCTAGTAGGGGTTACGGAAGGGAGTTGAGGTAACCTCAGTTCAGTCGGTCCATCAGTCATTTCTTTCATTGGAATGTGACTCATGCTGCACAGAAGAGAGGCAGAGATTTAGCTAGATGTGGGGGCGGGGTGAACAGGGAAAACCATGCTCATCCTGGAGCACCTATTAAGTGCCAGAGCAGGTGAGGCACAGACTTCAAGTTCAGGAAAAGGGAGAATGACTATGGCCCAAAGCAGAAAGGTATGCAAGCTAGCTTCAAATGGGAAGAGCTGACTGTATGTAGAAAAGGAGAAAGACTAAAGAAAAAGAGTGGAAACGGAGTATCCATACCATATTCCAGAATCAGTAAAAGAAGTTATATAATAATTATCTTCAAAGCATTCCAGTTCGAACAGCACTGAAAAGGATGTACCTCAATTACCATTCATTAAGGAGTTCGGGAAAAGTACCCCTAAATACTAGAGAAAACAAAACCAAGAGGCTTGTACTTTCCTAGCAGACAGAACAGATATGTAAAGAAAATGAGCATTAAGAAGTTATAAATTTCCTCCTATTCTAAGTATTATAAAAATGTTCCTTCCAAATGTGTAAATGTAACATTTCAAAATAAAGCCTTTAAAATAGATTTATTTTATACAGTATTCACTATGAAGTTCTGAATATCAAGCCCTTTTTATTCACATAATACTCTCAGTCCTTGTCTTTTACAATAATCAATCCTGTTTTTCATAATACACAACCTTTCTGAATTAAATGCTATAAAATGTGATTAGATGTTTAAAATGGAAACAATCAAAAGAGAGCTATAAACCTTCAGAGAAATGAAATAAAAATGGTTTGGAGGAAGAATGAGAATGATAAAAGGCACATACTTAGATAATCTCATGTACACTATCTCTTTAAATACAACAAGCCAGGAACAAGGGTTTTTGTTTTTGTTTTTAATGAAAAACAACCCAAGTTCTTTCTTTTATATCTGTTATTGGGAGTTATGAGTAATGCTTTATTACAATTCTTCTCAGTGTGTCATCTTCTAATTGTCCTCTTGTGCACATTCATTCAAATCTGGTGTCAGGTATAATGTGGAAAAAGTGAAGATAGCTAGAGAAACCATATAATTTTAGATATCACTCAGTTCTTAACCTCAAACCACTGCATACTGACTAAGAAGTGATAGTTCACATTAACTAGGACATTAAAGTCAAGAGTCCCTGAAAAGATTAGCTAAACGCCATAGTAGCTTCTACAGCACAGTAAAAAACCAACACTCGGGAGCTAAAAACAAAAACCAAAACCTGATTATTGATTATTCCAGCCAAAACTTTACATCTTGGTGAAGTCCCATGAGAAGGCTTTACATCTTGGTGAAGTCCCATGAGAAGGCTTCAAAAGATTGGTTCAGTGAGTAACAATAAATAAGAAAAGGATGTATACTGCATAGCAATTAGTTTGCCGAGAAAGAAGCGATTAAAATAAGTTGTAATAATACCCAGTCCAATCTTTCCTGATGAACAGGTCACCATGATTAAATTCATTCATTTTTGTCAACATTTTATAAGCCCAAAAAATGTGTCAGCCATCATTATATCCCTAAGGATAAAAAAGATGGCCACCTCATGGACCTCAGAAACTAAAAGGCGCTTGAGGTTTAGTGCACATAATTTTGAATGCACATAGGGAAGTGTGTTGCACATTTAAATGTTAACTGTTCTATGATTCAGAGTTAAAAAAGTGAGGAAAGCTATGATATGTGCCCAGGAACTCATTATGAACTAAAAGTCTATAGGAAGGATAAAGAAATTAAGCAACAAATGACATTTTTTTTTTTAATCAAGTTATAATATCCTGGATAACTGCTTTTCTCAGCTTTACATGTCTGCTCTAAGATTATAAGTAACTTGAGGCAGATCCTATATATTATGTTTATATTTTTATGTCTCATAGATCTTCGTTATGCAAAATGTGAACACTCAGTGAATAATGGTGGAAATTAATGATCCCCAAAGCT